TCGCATCTGCAGGCTCTCCCTCTGTAGCAAGCTCTCCTTCTCCCACCGCTCCCCGTCTGTGCCAACACAGCTCCACAGGCCAGGCTGGGACGCCTCCGGCCGAGGCACAGCCACATCGGTGCTGGGGTCATCAAGCGCTTGATGCAGGGGGGCATGGGGGCCTTGGAGGAGATGGCTGGTCACCCCCGCTGCACCCCAGCCCTGCAGCGAGGTGGGACAGGGAGGTGCCGCAGGCAGGCTGGGGGCTGCGGACGCTGTGCCGGGAGGCATCAGACTTTTCCATGCTGGCCTGGGGTCCCGCTGGGAGCAAGCTCTCCTTGGAGTCAGGCTCCCCACCAGCTGCACCAAGGACTCTCTCTCTGGTGTGGGGTCAGGAACTGATAGGGTCCCTGTGTGGCAGAGCAAGGACAGGGTGACCTCCAGCATCCTGGGGTGGGCCACTGACTGCCCTTGCTCTGAAGGGCAAGGCTGAGAGCAGCGGGTCAGAGATCCCCAGGCCAGGCTTGTTGAAGAGGGAGAAGCTGTGGAAGAGTTTCTCCTGGGGCCACTGGTGGAGCAGTGGTTGCTCCTCCACAGCCAGCTCCCTGCAGGCATCCACGACCACGTTGTGCCGGTTCTTGCAGATCTCGTTGGGTGTGCGCCAGGTCAGGGGGCTGAGGAGTTGACAGCAGCCGTGATCTCCTCCCAGGCGCGCTGCCAGGCCAGCGTGTTCTTGTACCAGCCACTCTTGGGGATCGAGATGTCCTTGAGGTGGAGCAGTGGTTGCTCCTCCACAGCCAGCTCCCTGCAGGCATCCACGACCACGTTGTGCCGGTTCTTGCAGATCTCGTTGGGTGTGCGCCAGGTCAGGGGGCTGAGGAGTTGACAGCAGCCGTGATCTCCTCCCAGGCGCGCTGCCAGGCCAGCGTGTTCTTGTACCAGCCACTCTTGGGGATCGAGATGTCCTTGCAGAGGCTCAACTCCTCCAGGATGAGGAATTTCTCCTCCTCAGAGAACTTGATGTGCTGCAGCTTGGCCATGCTCATGCTGCCCCTGCAGCGGGTGAGGATGAGGATGAGTCGGGGTGCGCTGATGCTGAGCACCACTCCATCCCCCTGTCTGGGGCACGTCGAGCTGGGGCTGCGGCACTGCTTGGGGCTCAGCAAGACCGGTTCCCCCTGGGGGCACTGGTGGTGGTGTGTCCCCTGGGCTCCCCAAACCCAGATGCCCAGTGGGGTCCCTCGCTGCCGCCAGGCCAGTGTCAGGCAAATAGCCAGGGGAACTGGAAGTGGCCACATCCTGATCCATGCTGGGGAGGCTCCAGTGCAGGGGGGCTCAGCCGGGTGCTGGGTCTTCACCTGCCTGTCTGCTGCCTGCAGCCATGAGCTGGGCTGCACCCGTGGGGCTGGGTGTTCGTGAGGGTTTTTTGTTTGTTTGCTTTGGGGTTGGAGTTTGGACCTCCCTGGCAGCAGCCGGTGGCTCTTGCCTGTTTGCTGCCCCACGATGCGTTTGGCTGCTGCCCACCTCCCCCTCTCCCACCGCCCCTCCTGAGCTGGGATATTAAAAGGCTTCAACACTGCGGATGTTCTTGGCCTCTTTATTTGGGATAAAAGCCCAGGTTGGCCACAAAAGAGGTGCTAAAACAGTTTTAGTCCTCGGGATGGAGGGTTACAAAACATTGGGAACAAAGGGAGTGTGTCCCGCATGGCGAGAGGGGTTGCCCTGAGTTTCACCACCAAATCTGCAATCCCAGCTGGTGGCCAGAGAGAGCATCTGGCAAACGGAGGGATGCAGCAGCGTGAACCAGGAGCCTCGTGGCTGTAGGGCTTGGTATTACACTGCTCCGTGCCTGGAGCCATCAGGCAGCCCTGGACGGTGGTCCCAGCTCCCCCAGCACATCACCCTGGCTCAGCACGGGGGCCAGCCCGTGCTGCACCAGCAGCCCCTGCACCACCTCAAGCTCCTGCTCCAGCTCCTGCGCGCCGCAGCCCAGCCCCGGCACGGCAGCAGCACCTTCCCCCAGCACCTGCAGCGTCTGTGCC